CGCCGCAGGCCCCGCGGGTCTTCCTGGCGAGGCTGCCGCACAGCTAACCAGCCTCGAACGTATCCCTACCCCTGAGATTCACAAGCCCAAAGTCGACGACAATCTTGGGGATGCGCCCTCAGAAACAGAGGGAATCCCTAAGATCGGCATCGAGATGAGGCGATGCCAATCATGAGCATGGGGACATGTTCCAGGCTGGTGAACAGCCGGAGTGTCGCCGCGCACCCTCACGGGGGCACACGGCCACCTCGAGGACCGACACCGCAGAAACTTCTGTACAGCGAGCCGCGCTGGCGGAGTTCCCCAACGCGCACGCCATCGTGGGCTTGCATGTGGCGATCTGCTGCGTGCGGTCGTTTTCGGTCTTGTAGTTCTTGCGGCTGGTGGTGAAAACGGCCCTCAGCACCGATTGGCGGCATAGGGGAAACGAACAATTACCGGGTCTGCGGTCTCGAGCTCCGGGGAGGGGCAGGGCAGCGACGGGGGGAAGGAGGACGGGCGACGACGAGGACCGGGAGGGGCAGGGGGGAGGAGCAGGACGGCGACGAGGCGGAGGACGGGCGACGAAGAGGAGCTGCTCCCCCCCCCCCCACCTGGCTCGAGTTGCCAGCGGCGCCCCTGGCCCATCTGGGTGGCCCCAGGATCTCATTTCCAGGGAAGCCCGGCCCGCCTCCAGGGCACCCCCGATCACGAGGCCACAGGGGAAGACCCGAACAAGTGGAGACAGCTTTGGCAACACCCGACCTGTGACCACATTTCGCGGTACAAACCAGGCACCGGGACTCCTCCTGGGGTGCGTTCTGGCTCGGATTTCGAAGAAAATCCAGCCCTGGTGACGAGGGCCAGGACGACTTTTCCTCTCGGGGAACAAGCCAGGCACCGGGACTACGACTCCTCCCGGGGCGCCCTTTGGCCAGGACTTCGAGGAGAATCCAGCCGCGGTGACGAGCGCCCTGCCAGAACGACAGCGCTGCTCCCCAGGACGAGCCGAGGTGTCCGTACCTCTTCCTCCCTTCTGCACTGGAGAGATCGGGTCGGGCGAAAGGGGGGGATACCAAAAGGGGGGGGGGGGGGGAGAATCAGCTCACGTGGCTGATTGTCCCGGCGCCTCCCGGCGCCGGGAGGCGCCCACGTATCGAGGAATGGGCCTGGCGGCGGGGCCGAAACTAGCTGCATGCAGCAACCCCCCCTTTCCCTCGGGGATCTTCTGACCCGGGTCAATCCAGACCCGGGTCAGCCACGCCTTGCAGAATCCTTCAAAAACCTGCAGGATCATGCACCCAAGCCCGGGTCAATGCGAAGGATCCTGCAAGATCCTGCAGGATCCTGCACCCAAACCCGGGTCAATGGGAACATGGCCCTGCAGGATCCTGCAAGATCTGGCGCTCTGGCTGACCCCCGTTTGCATTGACCCCCGTCTCCAGGCTCCCGATTCCCGCTCCCCCCCTTTCGTCTGGCCCGAAGAGAGCAGGAGGCCTGGAGCTGCGGCCCCTCGGGCCCCAGCAGGTGGCGGCAGCACGCGGCTGCTGCCGCGTACGCGCGCAGCAGCGCGTCCAGCCCGCTCTGCTGGACGCCTGCGCGGGGCGCGCCGCTTCGAGGGGCGGTGGGGGGTGGGGGTGGGCCCTCCGCCCCCCCGCCCCCTCCCTCGTCCTGCCTCTCCCCCCATTATATTCCTCCCCCTCCTCCCCCTCCTTCTCGCTCCTCGCTGGTCCTTCCCCTCCCTATACTCCGCCGCCTCTTCCTCCGTCCCCTGCTTCCTTTTCCTCCTCCTCGTCCTCCTCCTCCTCGTCCTCCTCCTCCTTCCCCCCTCCTCCTCCTCATCATCCTTCTCCTCCTCTTCTACTTTTCTTCATACTGTTCTGACTTCTCTTTTGGCCACTACGTATCACGTTTAGTAGTTAATCGTATTAGTGTTGATACATTCATTATCATGTAGACGTTATGTTTGAAAAAAATGACATAAATACTAAACTCAGTTAAGTCTGTTATTATTAGTAGCATCAATGTTCGTCTTCTTACTCGTCTCCGTAGTATGACTCAATGTTCTTGATTATATTAATATTACTCTTACTGGTATTACTATTATTCATTAGTCGGACTACTAAGATTCGCAGTATAAGTTTTAACACATGTATTCTTAATAGCAGCATTTACCACGATAGGAGGAGGAGGAGGAGGAGGAAAGGCTGCGGGAGGGGGAGGACGCAGTTGGGGACGTCCGTCCTCCGCCCTTTTCCTGGTCCTCTCAGCCTTCCTTCCATGTCCTTCCTCCCCTGCCTCGCTCCCTCCTGTCCTCCCTCCCTTCCTTCCTTCCTTCCCCCCTTCCCCCCTTCCCCCTCCCCTACCTGATCTCCCTCCCCTCCCCGCCTCCCTCACCGCCGCCCTCGTCCCCCACGGCGGGTGCCCGCGCCGCGCCCCGCGCCCAGGAGGTGCCTGGCGCCCCCCAGAGGCTCCGCAGCACGTAGGTGCGGGTGGCGGCCGCGCCCGTGGAGGGGTCCACCCCCTCCCAGATGCAGTGCAGCGCCTCCCGGTCGACCTCGGGCCCGGGGGAGCGACGAAGCCGGCGAGGTGGAGTGCATGGGACGCAGAGGGACATACTAGCACTACCTGTCCTCCCTGAAGGCGGGCGTCCGGCCCATATATGTATATATATAGTATACCCATCTTGCAGTGTATCGTTTCCCGAGCGGTGTGGCCAGGAAGCACCCGCCACGACGCACATACCATCAGACTTCCTGGTGCACGCGTCGCCCCTGGGGGAGCGACGCACAAACAGTATTGGTATGTTGGGGTGACGCCGAAGAAAGGCCGGGGGAGGGCGAGGTGGAAGGCGTGGAAGATAAAAGGCTACCCATCGGTCGGAAGAAGTAGGTAGAATCATGAAGTAGGAAGGCGGATTAAGTAGATTGGGTTCGGGCCAGCCCAGAGAGTAAAAAAACGCAGCAAAAGCATATCGAGTCTTGAAGTAGGAAGGCGCTTGAGTAGATTGGGTTCTGGGAATCAATAAGTACCTACGTTCAACGACCGATGGGTACTAGATGTCCTCCTTGAAGGCGGGCGTCCCACCCGAAAAAAAAACAGTATACCCATCTTGTAGTAGATCGTTTCCCGAGCGGTGTGGCCAGGAAGCACTCGCCACGACGCACATGCTATATCAGATCTCCTGGTGCGCGCGTCGCCCCTGGGGAAGCGACGCGCAACTAGTATTGGTATGTTGGGGTGAGGCCGAGGACAGGCGGGGGACAGCGAGGTGGAAGGCGTGGAAGATACAAGGCTAAGGATTGAATAGGGCTGGGGGGTCAGGTCTGAAGAAAACCCCAAACGGACGTCAAGGGGCGCAACCAACCTGCTCGGTCGAGCTGAGATTGACGCACCACGCCCGGCGTCGAGCCGAAACTCTGGACATTAGCGAACGGTTGGTTGCACATACTGGTCGGCTTAACCGGCGAGGCGTTTGACCACCTTGACGTCCCTTCTTTTTTCGGGGATGGACAGACCTCCCTTTAGTAAAACGTGGTTTAGTGAAAACGACCTGAGGCCCAAACCTGGCGGGCGCAAGCCTGGAAAATAACGGCCACGGCGCCCCCTCGAGAACCGAAAACGGACAATTCACTAATCGACGTGTCACTGTTGGGGGTTCTGTCCACCCCCGATTTTTTGGCCCTGCAGAAGGGCCCTGCAGAAGAAGGCGCTCTCTGATCCTCGGCCCTGCTCAAGCCAAGGACGCGCCTGCCTCCCAGGTGCAGGGCAGCGGGGCTCTGGGTCGCCCGCAGGCCCCGGGAGCGGCGACGGCGAAGACCGCGACGGCAGCGTGGAATTTGTCGTGCGGGCGGGCGACGCGAAGCTGCGCGGGGGCGACGAATTGCCTCGAGGGCGAGGGCGCCCTCGAGGGGCGAGGGCGCCCCTCGAGGGCGAGGGCGACGAATTGCCTCGAGGGCGTGGGCGCGTGCGGGCGACGCGAAGCTGCGCGAGGGCGAGGGCGCGTGGCTGAGGCCAAATCGCACATCAAAATTCTCCTCTGGTCGCGCAGTTCCTCGCCGTGGCTAGCCTACATGTGTGCCGTCGTTGCCACGTGATCGTCCCATATATTGTCCCGCGGTTGTCCAGTGGGCTGTCCTGTGGGCAATTGCCCCGCGAATTGTTACGTGGCTGTCCTATGGGTTGGCATGTGGTTAGACCATGTATTGTCAAGTGCTTGTGCCGTGGGCTGCCCCGTGGGAATTCAACATCGAAACGTAATCAAAACGCATATCGAAATGCAAATCAACATGCAACTCTCAATGCAAAATCCGCACGCAAATCCAATTGCAATCGAAATGCCAATCCTCATTGCGAATTGGAATGTAAGTGATGATGATAATCACCATTCAAATCCAATTGCAATCGACATGAAAATATAAATGAGAAGGGATGCAACTCAGAACGCAAGTACGAAGACAAATCGGAATGCAAAACGGAATATCTATACGACCACCCTTCGGGTGATAAGGAGGTGAGGGGGGGAGGAGGAACCAACATGTCACTCAATACATCTCGCGATCGATCCCACTATCGATCTCACTATCGATATCACTCGATCGATCTCACTATCGATCTCACTATCGATGTCACAATCGGTCTCACAACCGATCTCATTATCGATCTGATTCGGTCGATCTCACTATCGATATCACTATCGATCTCACATTCCGTTTCACTATCGATCTCACAATCGATCGCACACTCGGTCTCACATTCGATCTCAATCGATATCACAATCGATCTCACAATCGATCGCACATTCGGTCTCACTATCGATCTCACTATCGATCTCACTATCGATCTCACTATCGATCTCACGATCGGTCTCACAGTCGATCTCACTATCGATCTCACGACAGGACACTGACGGGACACCCACGGGACACCGACGGGACAACGGCGAGCCACCGACGGGACAACGGGACACCGACGGGACACCGACTGGACAACGGCGAGCCACCGACAGGACAATGCGGGCCCCCGCTTGACAACCCCGGGGGGGGGGGAAACATTTGTCTTGGCGGACCCCTAGCGACAGCAGAGTGAATTCCTCTCGCCCGCCCACGCAGCTTCGCCTCGCCCGCACGCACGACACGAACACGAAATCGAAACCTATTTCCCGGTGGGGAGCTCTCCGTTCCACTTCGATCTCACCCCCTCACCTCCGACAAACAGAAATGCGAGCCGAAATGCACGCCGACCTATAATTGACGTTCGAACCGGCATGCACCCCTAAATGCAATCGAAATGCAAGTCGAAATGCACATACAAGTGCCATCGAAACGCACGCCGGAAAGCATGTCCCGCAGCCCCCCAACCTCACTTTCACCCGAAGGGTGTTCTACGAGATGTGCCTTCCAATGGAATTCGCAATTCTTTTGGAATTCCTCCCGAGACATCTACGGGACAATCGTGGGACAACCCGCGAGACAAACACAGGACAGCCAGCAAAGCAACCACGGGACATCCAACGAAACAACCCTCGGAGAAACCACGAGACAGCCCACCAGACAACCACGGTACAACCAACGAGACAACCTACGCGATAACCCAGGGGATAGCCGCAAAACAATATACGGGGCGTTTTTGCATACATCGCAGACTAGAAGAGGTCATGAATATGGCGCGTAACGTCTGTCCCTTGCCATTCGTGCCACTCCCCACGGGCTCGCCTGCGAGGCCATGCCTTCCATGCCAGGAGCGCAGCCACCTGCCCGCCATTTATAACACCTCCTTGCTCCTTATCCGCCTCATCCTCCTCCTGATCTGCCTCCGCATGCCCATCCTCAACCCTCCTCCTGTTCCCACTCCTCCTCCTGCTCCTGCTCCTGCTCCTGCTCCTCCTCCTCTTCCTCCTCCTCCTCCTCCTCCTCCTCTTACCCGCGCCTCCTCCTCCTCCTCCTCCTCCTCCTCCTCCTCCTCCTCCCCCTCCTCCTCCTCCTCCTCCTCCTCCTCCTCGTCCTCGTCCTCCTCCTCCTCCTCCTCCTCCTCCTCCTCCTCCTCCTCCTCCTCATCCTCCTCTCTCAACGTCCATACCCATTCAATGCTGCACAAGTCCCACACTCGCAAGGAGCGGAAACGAACGCGAGGCTGGCCATGCACAGCCTGGACTTGGTACCACCCAGCGCCAGAGAACAGGCGAGAGAAGGCCATTGTCTGGGAGTCTGGCACCTGAGCCCCAGCTGAGCCAACCGCGGGACGCCGCAGTTGGAGCCTGAACCGATCGGTTTATCAGCAGGGGCTCAACCCTGGAGTGGTATCCGCCCCCCTCAAGTCGAGAGTCAGCATGGGGCGCCGCTGCGTAGCAGCCTCTAGCGGGAGGAGGGGGAGGATGCAGGAGGGCAAGGAGGGAGGGATAGGAAGATGGAGGAGGAATGAGGAAGGAGAAGGAGGAGGGAGGAGGGAGGAACAGTAAGGAGGAGGATAATGAGAATGAGAATGAGGAGGAGGAGGAGGAGGAGGAGGAGGAGGAGGAGGAAGGAGGAGCGTCCCCGTTCGTCGTCCACGTCGCAGCCGCCGCCGTCGACGCTCCTCCTCTCCCCCTCCCTCCCTCCTCCCTCCCTCCCTCACTCCCTGCACCCTCGGCCTGGGGACACCCGTATGGGTCCCCGCCCACATCACACAGGGGGAGGGGGACCCCCGAGCAGAAGGGCCTTATGGTCTGCAGGGGATTCCGCCTCAGTCACCGCGCGAGCCTGGCCTCTCTGAGGCCGGGCCCGGTGGCACTCCTGGCGCACATCGCGGCGCAGAGCACTCATGGCGCACATGGCAGGAAGCTCCCTGGCCAGGTGATGTTCTCGAGTTGACTCGTCCATGTTCCTCGATTCACGATTGGCTCCTGGCAATCTTCATGCATCAAGTGATGCAATGCAGGCCCTCGCTGCCTCCCTGCCTCCCTCACTCCCTCCCGCCTCCCCTGTCCCTCACCCCCGCTTGACAAGCGCGTTCCACGACTCGCAGAGTAACTGCTCGCAAATGGCTTGGATCCGCCGCGAGGGATCCACGACGAATTCCACCGAAGCAGACATGTATGCTTCGGACGTTTGCGAGTAGGCACTTGGCGTGCAGTGGAACTGGGGAGACCAACAGGCACCGATGCCGCTACTCCCCGGACCTCTCCCGGGGTGCGCTCTGCCGAGGACTCCGAGGCGAATCCGGCGGCGGCGACGAGGGCCGCCCAGGAGGCCCCAAAAAGGGGGAAACGGGCGAGGGGGCAGAGATATGGGTACCTTATCTCCTCCTCCTCCTCCTCCTCCTCCTCCTCCTCCTCCTCCTCCTCCTCCTCCTCCTCCTCCTCCTCCTCCTCCTCCTCCTCTTACCCCCCTCCTCATCCTCTTCCTCCTCTTCCTCCCCCCTCCTTCTCCTCCTCCTCCTCCTCCTCCTCCTCCTCCTCCTCTCTCGTCCTGCACCTCCTCCTCCTCCTCCTCCTCCTCCTCCTCCTCCTCCTCCCCTCCCCCTCCCCCTCCCTCCCCCTCCTCCCCCTCCTCCCGTCGTCGCCGTCGCCGTCGTCGCCGCCGCCGCCGCCCCTGGCCCGTGCGACCCTGCAGCGACGACGTCTGCGCCGGCCCGCTGAGCAGCCGCGCCGTGGGCTCCCAGAGCGGCGGGTCCTCGCCTCGCGGGCGGGCCGCTCCTTCATCCTCCTCCTCGTCCTCGTCCTCCTCGTCCTCCTCATCCTCCTCCTCCTCCTCCTCCTCCTCCTCCTCCTCCTCCTACTCGTCTCCTCCTCCTCCTCCTCCTCCTCCTCCTCCTCCTCCTCCTCCTCCTCCTCCTCCCCCGCCTCCTCCCCTGCCTCCTCCCCCCCTCCTCCTCCTCCTCCTCCTCCTCCTCCTCCTCCTCCTCCTCCTCCTCCTCCTCCTTCTAATTACCCTCTCTTATTCCTGCCTCCCTCTTGCTCCTCCTATCTCCCTCCTCCACCTCCTCTTCACAATCTTCCTCCTGTCTGTTTCCCCCATGCTCCCCCTCTCCGTCCTCCTCCTCCTCCTCCTCCTCCTCCCTCCTCCTCCTCCTCCTCCTCCTCCTCCTCCTCCTCCTCCTCCTCCTCCTCTCCTCCCTCCTCCTCCTCCTCCTCCTCCTCCTCCTCCTCCTCCTCCTCCTCCTCCTCCTCCTCCTCCTCCCCCTCTCCCTCTCCCTCCTCCTCCTCCTCCTCCCCCTCCTCCTCCTCCTCCTCCTCCTCCTCCTCCTCCTCCTCCTCCTCCTCCTCCTCCTACTACTACTACTACTACTACTCCTCCTCCTGCTCCTCCTGCCTCACTCCTCGTCCTCCTCCCCCACTGATTTTCCTTATCCACCCTCCTCTTACTCCTGCCTCCTCTCACTCCTCCTGGCTCCCTCCGCCTTCTCCTTCACGCCTGCCTCCCTACTGCTCCTCCTGCCTCCTCCACATCCTCCTCCTCCTGCTCCCAGCACCCCTGCCCCCCCTTTCAAAGCCAGGCAGACCACGTGGCCCGTCAACGGCGTGGTCTGGATCATGGTTTTGGTTTTTATGCGGGCACTGGCTGCACGAGGAGATCCCTCGTGAAGGAACGGAAACAAATGTGCAGGCCAATCGCGCCTACACCGTCGTATCGCACCACGCTGTTACGGGCCGCAGCGCTCGCCCCCCACTTACGAGACCGGCGCCCCTGCACCGCATCTCGTGTCCAGACTCCTTGCAGGCCCCGCTCCAACGCAGTACGCTCCATGATTGTTCGGCCCTGAGGTAACCAGCCTCGAACGTATCCCTATCCCTAAGATGGGCGAGCAAAAAGCCAGGACAATCTGAGGAATAGGCCCTCAGAAACTGAGGGAATCATTAAGATCGGCATCGAGGTGAGGTGGTGTCAAACATAGGGACAGGGATATGTTTCAAGCTGGTAATGAGGGCAGAAAAACTATACCCCGTACTGTTCCTGGGTTGAGGATCGACCACGCCTCGGGAGACGCCAGCGCGTTACGGTGCACAAAGTCGTCCGCGGACGCTTGGTCCCTTCCTCCCAACCTCCCTCCGGTTCCAATCCACAAAAGCTTGAGGCTCTGATGCGCAAGCCAGCCCACTCTCCCAGGACGTGGTGCAAAGGGGGCCGATGGGCTGCACGGCCACTCCTAAACGGGTGGTTTTGCCCGTGAACGACGGTACGCCCTGGGCATCAGTTTCCGACATCGCGTGGATGGTTCAATGATTGCTTTCCGTCAGCGCAGATCGTTCAATACTGGCCGAGCTTTGGGCGATGGTGGCCGTCAACTGCGAAGGACCGCGCTGGCGTCGCCGCGTGGCCGACACGACACGAACCTACCGTACTGGTCGTGGCAGAAAGATGCCTTCTATGCACACTTCGGAGGGCGGAACCAGTGTCACACACCAGTCGGACGGCCCCGCTCTGCGCATGACTGCAAAAGTACCTCATGTTCGAACAGAGCGAACAGATGGCACGCACAGTCATCGATACCCTGCATCCATCCCGAGAGCTGGCTCACTCTGACATGTATTTGCATATATTAGTCCCGAGCGTGCCTGCAAAAGTGCATCACTGCAGACACGGCCTCGACCAGGGCGGTAATTTCAGCGTGAAACGTGCTCCATGGGCACCCTGCACCAGCATGCAAGTTGCACCCATCACCTTCGACTGGATAGACTCGCCATGACGCACCACTGCCGTGACCACAAACGCGGCGGCGCCCACGCCATGGCTGAAACCCGCATCGGAAAATGAAGATGTGGTGGCAGCTCCTTACAGAACATCCTATCCATCGAGTTTCGTGTCCTTGTTATGCTTGGGGCATGGGTCGCCCTCGGAGACGACTTGTGTGGCGGCCCAAAAACGTGAGCCAGAGCGGAGCAGATGGTATCGAAGGATCGCGCCGCATGGCCGATGATGCATCGGAGATGCACCGGCGACGTCGAGACAGATAAGGAAGGGCCCCGACTCGCGAAGCATCGCCCAGGTATCGGCGGTGCGACGTCATCCTCCGACCCCATCTCCAGCCCCATTAGGAACTTATGTGGGGCGTGTCCCCCTACAGGGGGATTTTCGGCGAACAATGAAAAATACCCCAAAAATGCCCCAAAGAGGTCAAAAAATAGTCCAAACATAGCCCCCAGACTGTGTTTGGACTATTGTTTGACTATTTCTGGGGTACTTTATATTTTTCGTCGAAAATCCTCCTGCAGGGGGACAGGCCCGACTTAAACCTGGACTGAATCCTCTCGGGAGCCCTCGGTAGGGGGCCACATGCGAACCCTACCCCTACCGCCCACGAGTTCTGAGGGGGAGGGTGGGGTTCACTGCGTTCGGCAGCTCCCGAGCGAAGTGAACCCCACCCTCCCCCTCAGAAATCGTGGGGGGTGGGGGTAGGGTTCGCATGTGGCCCCCTAGCCATCCTCCGACCCCATCTCCAGCCCCATTAGGGACACCTGGACTGCATCCTCTGGGGAGCCCTCGGCTCCAACAATTGATCCCGCGCCGAGCTCTGCACACGGCGAGGGCCTCCGCGCGCGGGGGCCCGGAGAGAGGGGCCTCCAGAGGCCGCCCGGGGGGTCAAGAGCCTCCCGCCATAAGTCTGTGTCGAGACGCGAGGACTGAAGAGGCCCTGGGACACACAAGTAAAGACACACAAACAGCAGGAGTCCCCAAATTTCCCCATATTTTCTGGGTCACGACGGGAGGATTGAAGAGGCCCTGGGACACACGGTTAGATACACACAAACAACAGGAGTCCCCACATTTCCCCATCTTTTCTGGGTTTGGGTCGTCTTCCCCCCCACCGTACTTCCTGGGGAATCGACAATCCATTGTGTCTGTGTGTGTGTTTTCCCCTCCTGAAGGATGCCAGGGCCTCACAGGGGCAGACATCAGAGGGTTAGGCCAGCTCAGCTCAGGGGAGAAACAATGAGCGGACCAGCTCAGGGGGAGGGCATCCAGCTGCGATCGGCGATTCAGGGGGTCCGGCTCAGGGGGGAAACCTTGAGCTGAGCTCGGCGATTTTAAGGGGGGGGCCAGGGGGAGAAACGTCGAGCTGCACTTGTCGATTCAAGGGAGGAGTGGCTCAGGGGGGGACAAAGAGCTGTTCTCGGCGATTCAGAGGGGGACCGGCTGACAGGGGGAACATTGAGCTGCAACCAGCGCTGCATCGCCGATGGATCGGCGACAGGCCACCGACGGCGAAACCGGGCATTCCTGAGCGGGGAGGGCCATGAGGCCCCTGTCGGCGAGGAGCACGCGAACGAGCGTCGACCCCCTCTGAACCCCTTCCCCCCGCGAGGATCCTCCCGCGGCCGCTGAAGGGCGCTCGGGGGTCGGTGCATCTCCCGCCCGCGCCTGCCCCCTCCATTCCGCTGCCCCCGACCGCGGCCCCAGTCCCGCTGGCCGACTGCCTCGGCTCCCTCGAGAACAGGGCGAAGCGCCGCGGTCGAGGCGCGCGCCGAGGCGGCGGCCCCCCGCGCACGCGCCCGCGGCGCGGGCCTGCGGGGGGCTGCCCCCGGAGCTCCCGCACGTCGTCGTCGCCGAGCGCCAGCCGGCCGTACTCGAAGTAGTCCAGCAGCGGTTCCGTGGCCTGCGGCGCGGCAGCCCTCCTCCTGAGCCTGCTCCTCCTCCTCCTCCTCATCCTCCTCCTCCTCCTCCCCTAATCCTCCTGATCGCCCTCCTCCTCCTCCTCCTCCTCCTCCTCGCTCGCTCGCTCGCTCGCTCGCAGACTAAAGGCCCATGCAGTTCGTTGCCTCTTCTGGGATTACAAAGGGGGAAGGAGACAAAAAGAGCACGACGCAGGCAGCAGCTGTCGTGACATCAAGGGTCCCTTACCAACACCTGCCAGCATCGAGAGCCTCTGGGCCACAGGTTACAACAGATACGGATCGAGAGGACCAAGAGCCTCCGCACCCACAGGAAGTTCAAAGTCCCCCTCACACAACTGCCGTAACATACAACTGTCCCAAACATCGCAAAAGGAGAGGGCAATCAAGGTCGACACAGGAGCGGGCAAAGTAACACTAATACACCCACAGTTGCCCTGAGACATGCAATGCACATGATCGCCCATGCACCTCCATCCTCCCTCACTCTCAACCCTCGGGAGGAGACTCGGCATCCACGATGCAACGATGCCGATCGGGTCCCACTCCGCGCCACCTGAGACAGCGCACCTCTCGAACCTGATAGCACTGGCGGCAGGGCTGGCGGCAACGGCATCAAGAAAGGGGAAGCTGTCAAACTCGAGCAGATGCCCAATTTTCTGCTCCGTCAGGGGTGGCCCATGGAACTCCGTGGGCCTGCGCAGACACCGCCAGTCTCAAGGCCCCTCTCATCACCACGTTTTCCTGCATGAGGCGATCGCGCTGCCTAGAATTGGCACAGGGTCTCCCCCAGGGAAACTCGGAATCTCTAAGAGCCCGTTCCACTCTCACTCCGAACCTCGGGAGGAAAAAACAGCCCCCCGCAACGCGGCCCTGGGAAACGTTTTCAGTCCAATGGGCGGCCAGCCCCTCAGTCCACTGAGAGTGCGAGAAATGCTGAATGGCTATCTGCACTCCTCTCCGTGACAGAATCGTGGTGAGCACTTGGTGGAAATCGCCACTCAGCCTCCCCTCACCAACGATCAAAAAAACTGAAGCAGGGCTCTCAGCACGGGTCAGAGCAGCTGGCGCAACACAAACGGGGGCCTCGACAGCCACAGTAGGAGCATCAACAGCAACTCCTCTCCCAAGATCGAGCTTAGGTGCTAAGGGTGGGCCTGGCACTCGGTAGGCAGCTTTTTCCACAAAATGCTCATGCTTGCCCTCCTTGCGGTTATTCTTCTGAGTCAGCGCACTCTCGCGGATGCTCTGCTCAAGCTCCTCCTGGTCCACCGCACGTCCCAGACAGGCCCAAGCTTGACAGCATCCCACTTGCTGTTTAAGGTGTTTTAAGAGTCTCCCTCGAGTGTGGAATTCCGTTAAACAAATCTGACAAAGCGATCCGACCGCCCACAAGGACGGGTCTCGAGCATCTTTGTGAAACTTGTTGCGATGGACCGCCAGCCCTCTGGCCGCACTGGAGGTAAAGCCGCACTCGTAGCAAAAGTAAACCCTCGGCGTTTCAGTTTGACTCGGGCCCTCAGGCCCAGCACCAGGGACCGTAACGCCTAAGTGGGCCACCGAGTTGTGAAGCTCTCGAGCAAGCTGCATCTGGTGCTGGAGAAAGAGCTGCCTGCGCGCAGCTTCCGTAACCTTAGCAAGAAAGTGACGCCTGGCAGACCTGGCCAATTGAATCCAGTCGTCCGCCGACCCCGATTGGGGCACATCAAGCTTGTTGACCACACTATCCAGCCGCTCCAAGTCTTGCCTCAAGATAGCGACCCACGAGTCTTGCACATCCCACAGACAGTCCAAGGCCACTCTTAGCCCAGCTGGGGCAGAACCCAGCACTCTGGGAAGATATCTGAGGCGCGCTATCCGCATCACCGTTCGGTGGTCAAGCCTATTAGCAGTTCGTAGAACAGACTTGTGAGAGATCCTGAGCTCAGCATTGGCAGCTAAGGGGAGGCCGAGAGCGGCACGGTAGGCCGCGGCTTGCGCGCAAGCAATGCGCGCATGCATCTTGTTGCTAACAGGCTCCCACACACAAACGTTATACCACAGCTTGGACAGATCATACGCATCCGTGTACTTGACCTTCGTCTCCTCCTCCTCCTCCTCCTCCTCCTCCTCCTCCTCCTCCTCCTCCTCCTCCTCCTCCTCCTCTCATCATGATCACCACCACCACCACCACATCATCATCATCATCATCATCATCATCATCATCATCCATCATCATCATCAGTCATCATCATCATCATCATCATCATCATCATCATCATCATCATCATCATCATCATCATCATCATCATCATCATCATCATCATCATCATCATCATCATCATCATCATCATCATCATCATCATCATCATCATCATCATCATCATCATCATCATCATCATCATCATCATCATCATCATCATCATCATAATTATCATCATCATCATCAGCAGCAGCATCATCATCAGCATCAGCATCATCAGCAGCATCAGCATCAGCATCAGCATCAGCATCATCATCATCATCAGTATCAGCATCACCACCACCACAATCAGGATCAGCATCATCATCATCATCAGCAGCATCATCATCAGCATCATCATCATCAGCATCAGCAGCAGCAGCATCAGCATCAAAATCATCAACATCAGCATCATCGTCATCATCATCATAATCATCACAATCATCAACATAAGCATAATCATCAGCAGCAGCAGCATCATCACCATCACCATCCCCATCATCATCAGCAGCATCAGCAGCAATATCATAAACATCATCATCACCATCACCAGTATCAACATCAGCAGCATCATCAGCATCATCATCACCACCACCATCATCATCCTCTTCATTATCATCATCATCATCATCAACATCATCATCATCATCATCAGCAGCAGCATCAGCAGCATCATCACCAGCATCGCCACCACCACCACCATCATCATCACCACCACCATTACCATCATTATGATCATCAGCATCATCATGATCATCATCAGCAGCATCACAATCATCCTCCTCCTGATCCTCCTCCTCCTCTTCGTCCTCCTCATCATCCTCCTCCTGCTGGTCCTCCTCCTCCTCCTCCTCCTCCTCCCCCTCCTCCGTCTCCTCCTCCTCACCATCATCCTCCTCATCCTCCTGCTGGTCTCCCTTAGGTCCTACTGCTCCTCCTCCTCCTCCTCCTCCTTCTCCTCCTCCTCCTTCTCCTCCTCCTCCTCCTCCTGCTCCTCCTCATCCTCCCCCGTTTCCTCCTCCGCCTCCTTCTCCTCCTTCGCCTCCTTATCTGCCTCCTTCTCCTCCGCCTCCTCCTCCGCCTCCGCCTCCTCCTCCGCCTCCGCCTCCGCCTCCTCCTCCTCCTCCTCCTCCTCCTCCTCCTCCTCCTATTCCGCCTCCTCCTCCTCCTCCGCATCCTCCTCCTCCTCATCCTCCGCCTCCGCATCCTCCCTCCTCCTCCTCCTCCTCCTCCTCCTCCTGCTCCATCATCATCATCATCATCATCATCATCATCATCATCATCATCATCATCATCATCATCATCATCATCATCATCATCATCATCAGCATCATCATCATCATCATCATCATCATCATCATCATCATCAGCAGCATCAGCAGCATCATCATCATCATCATCATCATCATCATCAAGCAGCAGCACAGCAGCAGCATCATCATCATCATCATCATCATCATCATCATCATCATCATCATCATCATCATCATCATCATCATCATCATCATCATCACATCATCATCATCATCATCATCATCATCAGCATCAGCATCAGCACCAGAATCATCATCATCACCACCACCACCACAACATCATCATCAGCAGCATCAGCATAACCATCATCATCATCATCAGCATCAGCATCAGCATCATCATCAGCATCGTCATCATCGTCATCATCAGCATCACCAGCATCATCATCATCATCATCATCATCAGTATCATCATCATCATCATCAGCATCACAATCATCATCATCATCATCATCATCATCATCATCATCATAATCATCATAGTCATCATCATCATCATCATCATCATCATCATCGCCATCACCATCATCATCATCATCATCATCATCATCATCAGCATCAGCATCATCAGCATCATCATCATCATCACCATCACCATCATCATCATCATCATCATCACCATCATCATCATCACCATCATCATCATCATCATCATCGTCATCATCATCATCACCACCACCACCATCATCATCAGAATCATCAGCATCATCATCAGCAGCATCATCAGCATCAGCATCATCAGCAGCATCAGCATCATCGTCATCACCATCGTCGTCATCATCATGTGCAGCATCATCATCAGCATCATCAGCATCATCAACATCATCAATATCATCATCATCATCATCATCAGCACATCCGTTTCATCGTAATCGTCATCATCATCATCAGCATCATCATCAGCATCATCACCATCAGCATCATCATCAACATCAGCATCATCATCACCATCATGAGCATCAGCATCAGCATCATCATCATCATCAGCATCATCATCATCATCGCCACCACCACCACCACCACAACCATCATCATCATCAGCATCACCACCACCACCATCATCATCAACATCAGCAGCATCATCATCGGCATCAGCATGAGCATCATCAGCATCATCAGCATCATCATCAACATCGTCATTAACATCAGCCTCATCAGCATCAGCATCAGCATCAGCATCAGCATCAGCATCATCACCAGCAGCATCATCAACATCATTATCATCATCAGCATCATCGTCAACATCATCATCCTCAGCACCAGCGTCATCATCATCAGCATCATCATAAGCATCGTCGTCAGATTCATAATCGTGAGCATCAGAATCATTATCATCAGCATCAGCGTCATCAGTATCATCATCATCATCAGCAGCCTAATCATCAGCATTACCAGCGGCATCATCATCATCAGCATCATCAGCATAATCATCACTCCTCCTCCTCCTCCTCCTCCTTCTCCTTCCCCCCGTCCGACCTCCTCCTTCTCCTCCTCCTACTCTTCCTTCTCCTCCTCCTCCTCCTCCTCCTTCTTATCATTATTATTAGTATCATTATTCTTCGTCTCTCCTTATTAGTATGCTTCTTCTTATTATTCTTCTTATTAGTATTATTATCCGTCTTCTTCTCCGTCTCTGTCTTCTTCCTCATCCTCCTCCTCCTCCTCATCCTCCTCCTCATCCTCCTCCACCTCCTCCTCCTCCTCCTCCTCCTCCTCCCCTGTTCCTCCTCCTCCTCCGCCTCCTCCTCCTCCGCCTCCTCCTCCTCATCATCATCAGCATCAGCATCAGCATTACCATCGTCATCATCATCATCATCATCATCATCATCAGCAGCATCAGCATCAGCATCAGCATCATCAGCATCATCAGCATCATCATCATCATCATCATCATCATCATCATCATCATCATAACCATCATCATCATCATCATCATCATCATCATCATCATCATCATCATCATCAACAGCATCATCATCAGCATCAGCATCAGCATCAGCATCGCCATCCTTATCCTCCTCATCCTTCTCCTCCACCTCCTCCCCCCCCCCACCTCCTCCGCCTCCTCCTCCTCCTCCACATCCTCCTCCTTCTCCTCCGCCTCCTCCTCACCATCATCATAATCAGCATCAGCATCATCATCATCATCATCATCATCATCATCATCACCATCATCACCATCATCATCATCATCATCATCATCATCATCATCCTCATCCTCATCCTCATCCTCATCCTCATCCTCATCCTCATCATCATCATCATCATCATCATCATCATCATCATCAACATCCGAATCAACCTTCTCCTCCTCATCCTCATCCTTCCCTCCCCGACCTCCTCCCCCCATGCTGTATCACCCCTGTTTTCTCCGCCCGCCTTCCATCGCCCGCTTCCGCCTCTCCCTGACCCCCTGCCCCCTTGGCACCCGCCTCGCTCCCTTCCCTCCGGCCCTCCTCCGTTGCCATTTGTCGCTCGAGCCAACTGACCGTCAGTTGCCTCCTGCTTAGGGCTCTCATGCGGCATCTCCACACGAAGCCGCCACCCCGCCACCGCCAAAAACCCCCCTCGTGCTCCATGAAGGACCCGCCAACTTCAGCTGGTCCGAGGGCCCACTCAACAATCGATCCAGAACCACAGAGGATCCCTGCCAATCACCAAAAAAAGAAAAAATACTCGAAAAATACTCCCCTGACTATTTTTTAAATATATTAGAATATTCCCCCTGTAGAGGAACAGGCCCGACTTAACCATAACTGCCGACCTGGGGAAGCTGATACCACTGATCCAGACCATCCTCGTCACATGTCACAAAGTGCGCCCAAGTGCTGTCCCCTGCTAGGCAACCGCTGTCGTGCATGAAGAGGTGATAGTTGTAGAGCTCCAGTTTCTGATCCGCGCCCTTGTCACACTTGGACAACTTCAGGCCGCCATCGCTCGCCGTCAGGCACTGCTGAGGCCGGTCTGTGACCCACCGGGGGACCGTGGAGAAGGTTCACTTGCTGAGGGTGCCCTGCTGAGTGGCCTCGCGCAGCTTCTCCGTGCGCTGCCCCCTCTGCAAGAGGCAGGACTCGTCCTCGTCCAAGCTTGCGGTGCCGCGCGCAGGGGCAACTATAACCAAGGCCAGCACCGCGGCTCGCGCCGCCGCCGCCATGTCGGGGGGGACACCAAAAAACACAGCTCGTGCGCGCTGCTTGAGCCAAAATGGCTACGGAAACGCATCTTGGGCTGGTTGGGGCCTTTTTGGGCAGGCTCGGGACCCTCTTGAATCGTCTTAGGACCCTCTTGGGACCCTCTGCGGCTGTTGTGGAGTTCTTTGGCGGCCCGAGCGCAGGGGTCCCCCCCAACACCAGCCAGGGCACATTAACAATTTTTTGGGGGTTGGATATCCGCCACCGTACCGCGGAAAATCCTCAGGTCCCTTTGAATGCTCTGCGCTGAGTACTCTCAGTACGCCAAGGGGCCAGACGCCCAACTGCCGAATCTCCTGAAGAGCATTCCGCATGACCTCCAGGGGCTTCTCGCGTGCCATTTCCTGAATCAGAGAGCCCAGGACGGACCATTGGGCCCTGGGACGGCCCAAGAGGATCCCGAGACGACGCAGGAAGGCCCCGAGACAACCTTAAGACGGTTCAAGAGGGCCCCGAGACGCCCCAAGAGGGCCCAAAGTCACACAGGTTCCTCCGGTGTTTAACGACTGGTAGTCGCGCTTTCCGACTTCAGAGCCCCCAAGACGACTCAAGAGGCCCCAAAGAGGGCCGTAGATGGCCCAAGAGGGAGAAACCGAAGGGGAACTCGGAGCCACAACTCTACAGGTTGCCTCCAAGATTATCACCATGCCCCCAACAGCACACCCAAGAGGCCCAAGCGGTCCCGAACATACACCGAAGAAACCCCGCACAGGCCCCCAAGTCCAGTTTCTATATGCCACAGAGTGCGCAACGCATGGTGAAATAACAGGAATGGTTTTCTCGGCCGCCGAGACCGCAACCTATGGTGCAACAGCCAGGAGGCCACCGTTATATCCGACAACACGCCCCTGCGGCACGAAGTGGAGTGTCCCCAGGCTTGTCTAATCCCTTCAGCCTCAAACCCTGAGGATTCTTTCCCCAAGCCCAATACGAGCCAAATACCTACACTTGCATCCTTCCCCCGCTCTCATCTCGTGCACGTGGCAAGCTGTGCAGTGTGGGCGCTGACGTTCTGCGCCCACAGGAGGATGAATGTTGCCCTGCGAAGCTGTCCGCTTCGCAAACAGGGGGAGGAGGAGACACTCAATGCTCCCCCCCGTCGCTCCCCTGGGGGAACATGCGGATACCGACACCGCTACCCACGGGACCTCTCGTGGGTGCGTTCCGACTGGGATGTCGGGGCGAATGCAGCCGTGGCCACGAGATCACCCCGGGACGGCCCAAAGATGCCCCAGAGGAGCCAAGAGAAAAGGTTGCACCTCAAGCCTCGAACCTCGTTCTGGGATCTTCTGACCCGGGTCAGTCCAGACCCAGGTCAGCAGGAAACCAAAAAACTGCAACGCAGAACAAAAAAACTGCAACGCAGGTCTTCGCAAACCCGGGTCAGCCAATAGGCGCGGCCGCCTCGCGGCCACGAGCGGCTCGCTAACCCGGGTCAGCCAGAGAGGGTCTCCGCAGGATCCTGCAGGATCCGGCGCCCTGGCTGACCCCCGTCTGCATTGACCCCCGTCTCTTGGCTCCCGACTCGTCCTGGAGGTGAACCGCCCGGGACGAGGCCGCAGATCGCAGTGGTGGCCGGGCCTTGATGGCCCCCCATGCCTTCGAGGCCTCGGGCCCGTGGACCAGGGCTCTCGGGCCGGAAGGAACCCGAGGCTGCAGGGTCTCCGTGGGCCTGCGCGGGAGGGAGGAGGGAGGCAGAGGAGGAGGAG